GAAAAATTGACTGTCATAGGTGGCTAAACTTATTAACCATGCCATACTACTCAACAAAATGGACCAAAATAAACACAAATATTACAATAGGCCCATGTTTGCTAGATATCTTCGGAAATTCACTTTCAATCACACGTTTTATCAATAATATAATTTTGTACGTAAATTTGTAATTTTTTCTTATTTTTTAATCACATTCACCAGCAAAATTACTTTCCACAAAATATATTTTCAAAAATATTCCCAAACATGCTCGAATGCTCTAAAAATTTAATTAGCTACCTAACTATAAAAATTGTTTGTTGAGTGTTGACAAAAGTGGATCATGGATAACTAATTTATTTTTCTGAGTTAAAATTAGTAAAACTCAATTTTTATTTTTGTTCTACACGTCTAGTAGTTCTAAAAACTGAGAACTAGTCAACTCTATAGAATTTCTAGATTTTTTGTATTAAAACTTTTTTTTTATAAAATCGATCTAGTACTAATTGTTTCAATTCAGTTCCGGCTCGAATTCGATTAAAATGTCTTGACTCAAAATAAAATGGTAGTCATTATCCTTTTCTTTACTTCATGAGAAAGTACTGGTGATGCCCCCAGGGCACATCTCCAAGTAGTAAAAGGGGAGGGTGGAGAAATCCAGCTTTGCTTGAGGCTGTTGCATCAAGGGTTCGAATCCTGAAATATGGATTTGGCTCTTGGGTAAGTGCAAATGTACAAGTAGCCTTCCACCCTGTGCCCTTGGAGGCATAATCTGCGATTTACCTCCCTCATAATGCTCCAGGGTAGGGGCGGTGGGGGACCCTTAAGGTTAGGGTTTAACCTTTTTGAGAAAGTACTGGTGATTGCGATGGAGATTTGTAAGAAGTTGTAAATGTAAATTTTGGCGAGGTTGAAAGGAAAGTTAATTTTATTTTAAGTTTAGATAAATACCATTTTTATACTTATTATATTAAAGTATATAAAAGTAGACAAAAAGAAATTAGAAATACTGTTGAAATCATAAAATAATGGAAAGAAATATTACAACAGTAACAATAAAAGAGAGAAAATTAGGATGTTGATATAGTAGTGGTATTGAAAAGAACCAAGTCCTGTATTGCATACAATTTCCTGAAAATAGATTTACCCCCAAATGTGGTGTAATAATACTACGATTAAAAGTAGCTGAGTAACACCTATTCTTGTTTTCGACGAACTGAGAATGCTCACACTTTTATCATCAAGAACATGACTCTTTCGACGAATAGAGAATGCTCACACTTTTATCATCAAGAACATGACTCTTTCGACGAATAGAGAATGCTCACACTTTTATCATCAAGAACATGACTCTTTCGACGAATAGAGAATGCTCACACTTTTATCATCAAGAACATGACTCTTTCGACGAATAGAGAATGCTCACACTTTTATCATCAAGAACATGACTCTTAAAAATTAGAGAGGAGAGAATTCTCAAATTTCTGGTAATTGGAATAAGGAGGAGATCACCTCCTTATATAGTATTAGGATGAGGAATGTTTCAATTTTCTTCGATAATTTTGTATTGACAACAAATTATATTACAATAGTTATTAAGGCTTTGTCACCATATATTATATACAAATTAACTAGAGAATTGAAATCTATTGAATCTGTTGTTACCATTTCTCATTCACTTTATTTTTATTTTAATTTTTTCCAACAAAAAATTCACATATCTATAATCATGATTGATATAAAATTATTTGTTTTAAATTTATTTACTTATAACTAAATTAAAAAGTAAGTTTGGGGACATTTATAAGCAATTTCATTTATGAATGGATAAAATTGAAGGGTTAATAGATGGATATTACTTGTAAATTTTACAAAATGTGTGAATAAAAAATTATTTGAATATTATTAACATGAGCCAAACATAGGCTGAGTGAGTAAAAAATAGACTTCATATATTTATTCGTAATAGTTAATGTTTTTAAGTTAGAATTTTTTTTATTTCAAAAAAGATAGAAAAAATTCAATTTATTGTGATGGAGAAAAATGATAATCAAGCTTCAAATCCTTTGCTTTTGTTAAAAATCAAAATTTCGGTAAATTTTTATGAAATATTTAATTGAAAAATTGATAAAATTTTGAATGACACACCCATTTGAAGTCCATTTTATTCAAAATGAATATTTTTCTCTTCTTTTTAATTACACAATTTTTAATAAAATAATATTACAAATAAATTCAAAATATTTCATCCTTTTTGAAAGAAAATAATACTTGTACACTTTAAGATATACACAAGGATTTACACCCCCACTTGGAAGTGGCTCGGGTACAATTCTCTCCTTCAAGTAGAGATGTAAACGAGTCGGGCCGAGCCGGCTCAAGATCCTAATATTTCGGCTCGGGCTCGGCCCGATTAAAATGGCTGAGCTTTTTTGCGGGCTCGAGCTGCTCGGCCAGGGCTTTTGCTCGGGCTTTTTACGGGCCGAGCCGGGCAGGCTCGTTCTCTCCCTTTTTTTTTCTCCTGTAATCTGTTGCCTTTTAAAGGCAGTAGTAGCTTTAATTTTTTTTATTTTTTTTTATAATTAATGTTTAATTTTTCCTCTAGCTTCCCCAAAATGGAATTGTGGCTTAATTGCATACTATGATGCTATAGCGGACTGTAGAAACTTGAAATGGGGGAGCCATCCGCCTTGACCGTCACTTGATTTAGTGGCTCCTTTTACGAGTTAATTTAATGAGTGGTTACTGACTTTCTTGTACGTTATTGCTCACCGATCTTTAAAAAATTACTCTTTGCTCACTGTACTTTGTTATAGGTTAGTTGTTGCTCACTAAAATTTGAACAAAGTTACTTGTTGCTCTTTGCTATAGGTAACACTGATGTAAATGTACGGATGATTGATGGGTAACTTTGTTCAAGTGACCATTGATTAAATTTACTCCTCCTTTTACTTGATCAGAGACTAAGAATTGTTGCACCTCTTTGTCCTGTACTCTACTGAGCGAATGGTAGCATCCTATGCTCTTAATGTCTCTGGTGTGTATATAGTGTAAATGGATATGGGAATGTGTAATTCGACTTAGATTTTAGTGATTAACATCAGAGGAAATCCCCATTTCATACTTGACTAAAGAAGACTGCTTATAAATTATTTAAGGGGAATAAATCTTGTTTTCTTGTGGTGGGCTTGCTTAGTTATTTGACCTTTAACTTCTCATTGTTTTGATAGAATGGTTGCGTGTTTTCAAACTGAAATCTGTTAGGCTTATAAAGAATAATTCATGAAGGTTCATAGGATGTATGGGTTCGTAATTTACATTACTTATATAATTATTTTTCCCTTTTTTAATCGTTGCCATGGATTTCTCGTAAACCCAACTACGTAAATATTATCGGAAAGGAGTTTCTTTTCGATACTTTGGTAAAGTACTTCATAGCTTTGCATGAGTTATTCAGGAGCTTCAATTTTTTCATTTGATTTTTAATAGGGAAAATTGTAGCCGAAGTACCAAACCTTTCATTTATTAGCAGACTTTGCCCAAACCTTTAGTTTGTGCCACTCACGGTACCAAACCTTTTAAAAATATGCACCGGAGGTTTAAATGGATGGGAACCGTCTGTTTGACCGTTAGTTGACCAAGAAAAATAAATTTTGACCTATTTTGACTGAATTAGAAAGGGTAAAATGGTATATTTAGAATTAGCATTATTTTTCTATATTATTAACAATTAAATTAAACTAAAATAAATAAATAAATAGAAAATAGTCAATCTTCATCTTCTTTCCTGACTGCACCCCCACCTCATCCCGACCATAATCTGAAGCCGTCGACTACCCAACCCCGGTTGCCCATCTCCGCCCAAATCCGTCGGCCCCCATCAATTCCACAACGTCCAACACCTTGGCAATCCACAATCCATTCGAACCTCCTTCTTCCCCAAAATCAAAACCACTCCAGCCAACCGCCACGGCTGCTGCCGGCAACCACCACTACCCACCCAAAACCACCATCACTAGACTGCTCCACCTTTCCCACCCAACATCGGCGCCATCCACCGGCAGTAAATATGAGGACAGCACGAACTATCATCCACCATCCACTACCCACTTATCCACTGTTGATCACCACCGCCACCTCAATTCAAATCATGCTTCAATTTCACCTGAATCCATATCCTTCGCCGGCCACCCCCCATCACCATCCACATCATCGCCACAACCTCCAGCCCAATGCCTCCTCACAACTAGGCATCACCACCGCCTAAAAAACAGTAGTCCCCTCAAGCATTCAGAGTGAAATTGAACCTTTAGCTCGCTCAAGCAATCCAACATTCACTCCACCATCACCATCAAACTGCCACCACCGCCATCATTTTCCTCAACACCACTTTCATTCACTAAATTAACCATTTATACCACAACAATAGCAAATCATCAAAGTCAAATCTGACTTCAAAATCAATTTTGGTTGTTTCAGATCTGAAGTAAAGAAAATCGTCACTCTTTCGTTCTTCCATTATTGGTGGCAGTGGTGGTGGCGATGACTTCTGGCTGAATAGTTGCGGTGGTCAATAACCTGGGTGGAGGTGGTGGCAACTTTGTAGTGGGGATGGCGTTCAGCGGCCTAGGTTGTGGCGGCGGCAATGACTTTGGGGCAAGGGGTATTTTGTGGGAATGGGGAAGAAAGGGTTAGGTTTGGGTGGTGGGTTGGTTTTAATCTTTTATTTTTTATTTTATTGTTAAATTATTAATATAATATTATATTTATATATACCCCTTTTACCCTTTGAAATTTATTCAACAGTTGGTCAAACCATTGACTTATAGTCAACTAACGGAGAAATTAACAGAAACCATCCATTTGAACCCCTGGTGCATATTTTTGAAAGGTTTGGTACCGTGAGTGGCATAAACTAAAGGTTTGGGCAAAGTCTGCTAATAAACGAAATGTTTGGTACCGTTGCTGCAATTTTCCCTTTTTAATATATTCAAATTAATGTATTTGATCTCTTGAAACAACAGCAGGTTTCTTCATAAAGCAAGATTCTCCCCACCGTTTCTGGGTTCTGCACAATGGAGGAGTCATCATTTTTCAACAGAATGCTGCTTAATCTTCGTGCAACCTGCAAGTATGTTAAAACACTTTGACATGTATGTGCCTAGACAGTCACCCTCCCATCAATGTATGCATGTATTTGTACTGATTTTGTTGGATGTGCTCGTGCTGGATAATTTTTTTGTAGTATCTATTGCAAGCTTGATAACTGTACAGTGTACACAATTATGAACTACAACGTCAGTTCTTTTACCTTTGTTACGTCATGAACATTATTCAAATTGGTTTTGCTTCTGGCAATGTTGTAATGATCATTTTGATATGTGAAATTTTGTACTGTATCTTGAAGGCATTTGCATGGAAATTTGTATAAATTTACATGCAAATTTACATGCGCAGGAGAGTTTTTCATCCTGTAGCTTCTGGGGGCAAATGATTCTCCCTTAGTTTTCCTGTGTTTGATGTTATGCATATCATAATGAGATGGAAACTGATTCATTAGCTTTGAAATTACAGTATACCAGGGCTTTTTCAGATTACTTGGTCCTCCTTTTAATTTTTTTCGCTTGCTCTTTTCTTTCTTTCATTTTTTTTTTAAGGTATTATACTGGCTACCCTAAGGATCTTGGACCATCGAGGGTTATTCCTTTCTCCTCAGAGCGCGAGTTTATGCAGCTTTTACATAAAGGTCACCCTGTGGTTGTTGCATTTACCATCAAGTAATTTGGAATATTTAATTCTTCCTTTCTTCTTTCGAATCTTTATTAGTAGTTGTAATGATTCCTGAAATATCAATATTTTTTACTGCTGCAGGTGTAACCACACAAAACATCTTGACAAAGTAATGGAAGAAGCTGCAGCCGAGTTTTATCCACATGTAAAGTTTATGCGTGTAAGTTACCTCATCTGGATGTTACATTCTGGAAAACCAAATTTTAGATATTCACATTTTCCTTATATAGGTTTTTATGGGTAAAAGTGTGATATTTTAATCAGTGATTTTGCGCTTCACACAGTGATTTTCATCGTTCTATGTTTCCTATGTATCCCTCTTCTTTTTGTCTGCATTCTTTCACATGTACAAGAGAGCATCTAGGTGTTTCTGTACATTCTTTGAGTTTCTTGTCTGAAAGTATATCAAAGCATATATGCATCTGTAATGGCTCAAGTGATGTAAACCACAGAATACCTCTTATTGTATAAATGAAGCGTCTACTCTTATTTTATTGATGTAGCTTCTTTAATTCACGTTAACATTCTTCATTGTCCTTACCTATTTTGGTTCTTGTGCTGATTGCTTAGGTTGAGTGCCCAAAATATCCTGGATTTTGCATAGCGCGGCAGAAGAAGGAATACCCATTTGTGGAAATATTTCACAGCCCAGAACAGGTAAGTATGGTTTGGTTTGTAGTAGCCTATAATATGTTAATGCCTCTGCGCTGTAATTACTGATCAGACGACATTTTCATGTAGTCCAAATTCTACATTCGAGGTCATTCTAAATTTAATTTTCCTTTTATAAGAAGCAAATTGTTCTAATATTTATCTGAACCATTTGAGAACAATACTTCGACTGTGTAATTTTTGTGAATGTGATTTATTCAATCATAACTGAGTCTCTTCTTCTGGATGGTGAATTATAGAGGACTTTCCCTAACGTAATCCAAACAAAGCTTAATTATGATGAAAAATAACAAATGCTGAGTGGAAGCATAAAGAAGAGGAGTCAGTTTCTATGATCGCAGAATATGCATTCTTTATGCAAAATCTTATAAATGAAGACAAAAAAAATTTGTCTGAAGCCATTTAATTGTAAAGATGGTGATACGGTGCACTTGAGGAAGTACCATTCATTGATCTTGTTGGAATATGAATATTGCTGGTTGTGTGCAGTGATGTGGGGAGTTAGTAACTTATAGTAATTTTTCCAGTGGCGTTAGAGTGATGTACAGGTTTTCCTTCATGTTTCCCTTGGGGGATAAATATAAAACAGAATTGTCGTATCCTCTTTTTATTTTTTTCTCTAGCTAATAGCAGTGTATTTCAAAACTGGCATAGTGGCATTCACTTGAAGATTTTTTGTTCTTCAGTTTTTTTCATTCTTGATCTTTCATTAAAAAAGGAAAAAAAAAAAAAAAATGCATGGTTGTATAGACAAAACTGATGTGATTGGGTTATCGTATGATGTCAACTATATGGGAAACTGAACTCATTAGTGTACGCCTTAGGATCAGATTGTATCTGAAATGAGTTTTTATGGTTGCACATACATTTTTGTTATAACTAGCTGGTAATTTTCCTTGCTGCCTTATTCTTGGTAGCGGTGTTTGGTGAGTCTTGTGGCGGTGAATGCATAATTGTTAGTTTTATTATTTCCTTTTACTCTCTCTTCTCCTCATCCTTGAAATTTGATGACACTTAATATTTATCATCGTTTGTATATCTGATTTTTATCGCACCTTTACTGGCAGAAAAAGTGATCTAGATATCATTTAGCTTTATGGATGCTGCTGTCCTGTCGTTTTTACATTGTATCCCCTTGTACATTTAGATTTTTGTGACTCCTACTTAATGATTCATAGTTATTGTTGCACAGGCAGCTAATCAAGGAAAAGTTGTTGATCCAAATATCACAAAATATTCCGTAAAAGTTTTACCTGTAAGTTCTGGATATTGTTTTCATGTATCTGTATTGGCTTCATGTTGTGTGATTTTGTGAGATATTTGCCCTTTGATTACGTTTCAGAAATTGGGGTTCTCAATAGATTAATTACTTCTAATGTGTTACACATGATTCTAGAATTCTATTGTTTTGTTTTCTGCTCAGTATTGTGTGTTGTAACATTTCTTTCGCAGTTGATTGAAAATTTGAAATTTTTAAAGGTAAAAGACAATTCTTGAACTCCCTCTTTGGGAAGAAACGATCCACCGGTGGATTGAACTACATAATATAGGATTTCTTTATGGACACAACTTATTTTTCATTCATAATTCATCTGTGTTAAGTCAGTATTCATGTATTTGATCTTTGGTTGTGGTTACTCAAGGATTCTGTAGTTTATGGATTTTTGAATTCCATTCTTGAAAGTAGTAAATTTGTCTTTGAAGTAAGTAAGAAGATTATTCACAGAAGAGATAAACCCTCATTTTTATATTTCCTTTAATATTATCTAATAATTAGACTGTGATGATCTAACAGAATATGGTTTTTGCGGGGTGGAATTTGTGGCATCGATCTAAAGGGTTTCTAAACCCCCTTGTCCGGTCTTAATGAAAGAGATGGCCCGATTAAACAGGAAGAGAGAATAGGAAAATTAGAGAGATGTAAAATTGTTTAATTCTGATAAAAAGAACTCTATCGTAGATATCTTTTGTCTTTTGAGTTGTTCGTTGACTAGGGTTGGATACTTCGATCTTTTAATTTGGGGTTGGATACTGACATTGTGAAGCTTTCCCATGTTGTTTCGAGTATAAAATATTTTTGTGAAATATTAATTCTTACAAAAATATTATTCTGATAAATGTTTGAATGTCGGTGATATTTGTTGCATTAAGTTCATTTCTTGCAAGTCTCTTGTATCATACGTCGTGCATGTTTAGTAAGATTTATGAGTGCACCTAGTGTTTGAGACATCTTTGCTCCTAGATGCTGAAATTGATTTTGAATTTCCAGTTCAACTATGATCTCAGTTCTTATGGACTCAAGGAATTTTTCAAGCGCTACAGCATTCGATCATCAGATCCAGAGTGAAAATTGATCGGAATCAAGTCTGTATCACACCTCTTGATTATTATAAATTATGTGATAATTTTTGTAAAGCATGGATTTCAACCTTTGATTACCAGAATGGCAGTTATATATTTTTTTTCTGAGTTATATAACACAAAGGATCTTAGTTTTTTGAATGTTTGGCCTGTTTTATTCAAATGTAGTAGGGACTTTTTCTGCAATCAGTTTTTTCTGTCTGTCTGGTTAAGATTAAAACCGAGCTAAGCTATATTTTCAAGACATTAATTTCTCGCTTAATGTTCGTAACGCATGATAGATGTCAACATGTAGTATTATTATATTAGAGCATCTTCAATCGTGATGTAAAATGTCTAAATTATGATTTAGATCTTTGAAGTGGTTAGAAACCTCTCCAATGGAGGGATGCAAAGAAAATGCAAATTACATTTTTTGAAAGATGTAAAAAATATGTAAACTTTATATTCATAAGAGTGTATTCATAAGAGGTAAAAAGTGGATTTAGATTTTTCATTGGAATAAAATTTGAATTTAGATTCATCGAGATGTACATGAGGATGTAATATTGATTTTCGAGATATTCAATTTTGTATCACCATCATAGATGTTCTTAGTGATGACATATATGTTTGTTGTCGAAATTGAATGCGCTCAATTTCATGCAATATTTGACATTACAACTCCAATTGACGGTTAGGTCAGCAAAATCTTAAATTCCAAAATAAAAAATATTAATAGGTATTAGTCAATTGTTTATTATTTTTTTTAAAATTAATTAAGAAATGGGTGACTGACGTTTCATAGAATATTTTTGTTGCACATTCTTATAAAAGGCCGCTCGATCTATGTTTTGAATTTTGTAACAGAGATTGATACATATGTTTTACTAGCACTTATCCCCTCAATTTTTGTTTTATTTTTTAATTTTATTTATAACCTTAAATTATCACAATTTTAAGTCAACTTTTCAATATTCACAATGATGTATGTTATCAATCAATGCGAACTTTTGCAATCATTAACAAGCATTTCTAATAAGTTCAGATAATGTGCAAATTTAGGACACTATTAGCGAACATTTATAATACGAATTCACGAGTTTGATCTTGAATACGAACTATGAGCACACGAGACGTATGAGTGCAAAATTACTTAAGAACAAATAATATTTTTATTTGTTGTATACCAGCAAAACTCGTTATTGAAGTACACATGTGGCATGGTCAATAAAACGTGAAAAATGTAACAAAATTAGTTAAACTGACTAATCAATAACTATCACGTGTAATTTAAGGAAAAGACTTAATTATCCTTATGACCTCGTCGGAAATTTATAATACGCATAGTTGGAAGCAAAGAAGGATATAAAATTGAATATGCATCCCTTTCAAATAGTCATTTCGCTACTATCTCTTATTTTGAGTAGAATTTAGCAAGTTTGAGGAGTAAATCCCAGTTAGGTGAAATAAATTTATTTTTCTTGATTTTGCGGTTAACATTCCGTAATAGAAATTGTTATTTGAAGAATAACCGAGTAGTTTTATTTGGAATTACAATTTCGACTACAATTGCTGTGTTTTCTATTTTTTTTCCCCTATATTAACAATTTAATTTTTTATTATTCTAGGATGCTTCAACGTGCACTCGATGGTTTATGTGGATTGCAAACTTTTCTTCCTTTTTCCTTACAAGTGACTTGAGCTATTATCACAAGGAATAAAAAGGAAAATGCTAAATTGCTTAAATGTTCCAACATATCACATCACCTATATTATAAAAAAAAAAAATGCCACTTTAATTACATTAAAAACATAGCTATAAAAGATGCATACAATATTTTGTTACAACCTAAATGTCCATCCATTCCAAATATTATGTTTTAGAATAATGCTACATTGCCAGTGACATAATATGTGTTGACAATTAGTCGAAAAAGTTGATTGTGTTTTAAACAATCAAATGATAGGTTGCCATGTGGCATTATGTTAAGAATTATGTCAACCATTATGTTTATGTATCATGATGTGATTGTTTGATGATTGGATATTTGTTTTAATTTTTCCTTTTATATTAAACCAGGAAACAAAAGATAATATATCAACCCTATTCGAAAATGGATAACGATGGTGAATTGACACGCACACATGCATACGGAATAAATATCACTTGTTGCTTTCGTTGCATTAACAAGTTAAATATACACCTTTGGAGCCAATTTGACATAGATTATTGAGAATTGATTCTGTAAAAATTTATTTTATGGAGAATGTGTGGTTAAAAAATAGGGAAAAAAAATTTAATCTAACACAAAATATTTATTTGAAGAGTATGTGATAAGAAATGAATTTTAAAAAAAATAAAAAAATGAAGAGTTTTAAAGAATATGTATCAAAAATATGTTTATGCATGAAATCTAATTTTGGACTAACATGTTGAAAGTAAAATTGTGAAAGGCATAAAAGTGATTAAAATTTCATTTCAAGGGTTACTTTTATTAATCTCACCATATCTTACAAAGCATCTGCATGTAAATGAGACATGAAAATTATTATGTGAAAAGAATAGTGATCTTTTGGAGAACGTAGCGTTAAAAAGTACGAAATTTTTTTGCGTTTATGTGTAAAATATTTTATTGTTTAAATGTATAGTTGAAAATGGGTATAAGAATTAAAGGGTTTTGAAAAAATGGTTGTCAAATAGATATAGCGTCTAAAACTTGTGCAATTCCATTACTTCCCATGCCTAAATAAAGATCTTAACGAAGAAATTAAGAAGACAAGAAATCTCATATCTCAGCTCTCTTTCTCTCTTTATTCTAAAACAAACGAATCATACTATAGTGGTATAATGGTTAACATAATGTCACGTGATGTTTTATCATTTAACTATTTAAAACACAATTCATTTTCCATCCAATCACAAAATGACACACTGTCTTCTCAAACAATGTTACCAAATTCTTCTGTTAATATGGCATTTTCCAAACAAAAGTTCCTTCTACTGTCATATAATTCAACCTCTCCAAACCACTCCACCACACAACCCCACAAACATAATCTATATATAAATATGTATAGGTATAGAGATAATAGATGTGAATGTTGTCATTGTAGAAGACTCTTCAAAACTTTTCTCTGCGCGCAAGTGTCAATAATCCACTACTCTTAAATGGTATTTCCTCTCTCTCTCTCTCTCTCTCTCTCTCTATATATATATATATATATGTGTGTGTGTGTGTGTGTGTGTGTGTGTGGAGTTTTTGTTACTGCATCTCTCTCTCTCTCTCTCTCTCTCTCTCTCTCTCTCTCTATATGTATGGAGTTTGTGTTACTGTATGTCTCTCTCTGTGTATGGAGTTTGTGTTACTGCATATACATATTTGTTAAGTTTTAATTGCTTCTTTTCTGAGTTTCGTTGATCTCTCTGACTTGAAAGAAAGAGTTTGAGATGGAAACGAAATCCTTTCTAAATTCCTATTTATAAATAATCGACGGAATCTATTGATAATATTTGTTTATTTTGAACTTCTTTACCATATATATTTTGTTGGTGATATTGATTTGTACCCAAATCACTATTATTTATAAAATTTGATTTTTTTTGGAGACAGTTACACTCCACCCCATCACCCCATCTCTTATTTTATCTCTTATTTTCATTAACAAATTTTTACAGTAAAATGCCTAAAAATATCTTTTGAGAAATAAAAGAGAAAACCTAGCCATCGTGATTTTATTTTCAAAATATATTTTATTTTTTATTCAGCTTTTCCTCTTAAAACTTGACACATTTTTGACGAAGTATGCTGCCACTAACAATGTTGATGCTCCAGTTAATCATCCAATAAATTACTCATTTTTTATTGGGAATGGTGGAGGATATTTAGAGCTTGATTGTCTTCTATTTTGGAAGAAAATATAGAGTTTTAAATAGTAATTTTTGAAGAATATATGGTTGAAATTTAAAAAAAAAAACTTTATTGGTTTGTATATAGAATATTTTATTGTGTGAATGTATGATGGAGAATGTTACTGCAGCAAATAATTTATTTTGTTAAATGAGGACAAACAAGACCTTGCACCTCTTTCTTATTTCGAGGATACCTTTTGCAAAAAGGTGAACATGGTCCAATTCTAATAAGAGCTAGCCAAATCTAATACCAATAAAAATATGGGGCATTTGCAAAAATATCCAATTTTATATATGTCAATTTAAAAATGTCCACTTTTAATAATCTTTGCGAATATGGCCAAATTTGATACCAAATTCTCTATTTTACCCTTAATGAAAGAATAAATAATTTCATATTGCACATATTAAATTACAATAAATGCTAGACTGTCGAGAACAACATTTAAAGTGTAAAGAAATGTCATAGTCGAAATGAAATGTCAAAAACATTTAATATTGTGATTTGACATGTATAAATAGATTCAAATATCTAAAACAACATTTGAAATATCGAAAACATTATTTTAATGTAACTTTTCATGAAAGCTACTTAGAGGTACTCTCGTTCAAATAATTGCAAAAATGGACATTGAAAAATTTTGGACATTTTTGCAAATGAGTGAAGTGCCCCATAAGCTATAAGGGCAAGCTATGTGTATAAATTTTGTGAGCAGCGATTGAACTAAACCTCCAAGGGCATCCAGTAGGAATCGAACCTATGAATTTTCCCAGTTGGGCGCTTTACTCATTTAGCCATGGATGTAAAGAGACTCAGTGAGTGAACTAGGTTTTGGTATTCCTTCTCGAGCTTCTATTTCTCCCGTTAAAGGAGATTCGAAAGAAGATAGAATAGGAAGACGTGTTTCCAGAACGAACAAGCTATGGGTTGATAAGGGGGAGTTAGCAAAGTTAGACAATATTGGAATGGGCATAGGAACATGTATTGATGTACTAGAGCGGCTAATGCTCCCAGGTTGCTGCGACGTATTCCACCAGTTGACTGAAGACTTGATTATTGGACTGTGTCCAAATTGACATTTTTTTGTAATTTCCTCTAAAAATACTTGGCATGCAATCAAAATTGTTTCGTGTGTTGTGATTTGATAGAATATAAGTGAGCTAGGGGTCCGTTTGATTATCATTTTTGTAAGAATGAAAATGAAAAATATAGTCGTATAGTACCATACAAAAAATAAAAACTCAAATATTGTGGTTTGATGTAATGGATAACTGTTATATTTTTTAATTTTTATGGCCTAACAATGAAAATCAAACGGGACACAAGAAATGAATAATTTGATTTGGTCTTTCTGCTTTATAATTACAGCAGCAAAATTATTGGGTATTTTGAATCTTTATTGATTGGTGAAATTCATCTATTGACTTAATAGTTGATTTATTTAATTATGATATGAAAATGTTTCTTTGCAGTTAACGGAAGGGGAATTGGGGACAAATGCTGTACTAACTGCACCTTTATCATTGGAGGGAGAGGATTCGGAAGCCAATAATGGATCGCCCAATCTACTTCAACGCATTTTCTGTCTGTTGAGCAGTGTGCAACCAGGATCTGATCTCATACGCCTTCAGGCAAGTAATTCCCATTTGCTATTTTCATAATTTATCTTTTGTGTGTCTGTGGCTTAACCTGTATGCGGGTTGATTTTGCTCGTGTTCAGTGTTAATCCTTCGATTATTTGATCTATTATGTATTGACGAAATGTTCAGTGTGTGTGAAACGAGGAGTATGTTAAGATACTTGTATAGGCAACTGTAACTGGAATTCGGAATAATGAGCCGATATATTTGGGTGCTAATGGATTTATGCTTATGATTTTGATTGTTTTGGCAAAAAAATGCAGCTGCCACCGCTATTCAACCTTCCGAAGTCACAGCTTCAATGCTATGGAGAATCAGTGTATTGCATTAATACTGATTTGTTAAGCAAGTGCAACCATGGGGAAAGCCCTCTCGACAGAATCATATCTGTTATTGCTTGGAGCATATCCACCTTGCGTCCTTTGACCTTTGGTTTGGCTCCCTACAATCCTGTTCTTGGAGAGACTCATCATGTCTCGCGGGGTACTCTTAATGTGCTTCTGGAACAGGTATATGTTCTACACTTTCTGCATTTCGTAGCTCTACCTCATTAATTTCTGCTCTTCTTGTATGAAGGCTGCTGGATGTGAATTTGTTTCCATATTCAGTTATGTATTTAGAAGCAATATGCATTCATCATATGATGGACTCTTCTTTTGTTTCATCATGCCCGTGGACCCCTGCCGTATTTGTAAATAAAACAACTAATCTGGATTTCATTTAAGATAGAATACTCTGTAGAGAACTGATCTCTATTGTTCATCAGAAAGATACTGGGTTTGAGCTCACTGTAGCTAACTTGCTATGCTTAGCCAATCGAGCCATGAACCCAATCAACTAGCCATATATGTGCTTCAGTGATTTTGTACTTGATGATGCCAGGTGTCGCATCATCCTCCAGTGACTGCACTTCATGCTACCGATGAGAAAGCAAGCATCGAATTGATATGGTGTCATTCACCCATTCCGAAGTTCTGTGGTATTCAACTCTTCTTCGCTAAACCATATTTTGTTTTATGTATATACAATTGATTATGGGGTGGTTTGACAATGCTTTGGTAAATTTAATTGTTGGTATTTTGACACCAAATGAACCTGGGGGCAATGATGAATATTCAGGTCGGAATTATTCATTAGATTTCTCGTAAATCAATTAATGAAACACTTTGTCTTGAGTTGAAAATCACACTTGGTAGCCCAAGTTACAAAGAAGGACCAAGACCGCTCTACGGGCTCGACTCATTTCTTCACTTATTATGCGGTGGATCTCTCCTTTTTCTCCTTTTGTTGAGACACAACACAGGCTTTCTTTTTTTCTTTGACATTGGCTGCGCCTCTGACCTTTCTCTTGGCTGCTTCTCTTCGTGACCTTTAGCCTCTTTCACCTGCCTATCGTCTCTGCTCATTTTCTATCGGTTCTATACCGGCGACCTGACCGCTGGATTGAGCTTTCCTGGCTGCTGCTTCGTGCACGTTTCTGCCCCTATTTTGGTCTACTCTTGTTGCCTTTCGTATGTAGCTTCTCTTGGCATATTTTGGGTAGTTGTTGTGGTCCATTTGAGTGGGTTACTTTAGTCTAATTTGTGAGGTGCTGCTGTGTGATTTTCAGTTCTTGATCTGAGCCTCGATCCATCCATCTTGGTGCCAAAATCATTGGAGTATTGATAGGGGAGTATTTGTTTCATTTTACTTAGATTAATTCCATTATTTACTTGATAGATTACTCGGTGTTTATTATTATCTATTAGGTGAATTTATCTCTACAGTAATGAAATGTGTGGTTAAAAAATTAATAAAACTTATGTGTTCCACAAAATGTATGGTTAAAATTGAAATTTGACAAGTTGAAAATTTGATAAGCTTTTAGCAAAGTTTTATCAATCAAGCACTAATTGTCATAGCAGCCATTTCCAGCATGAAATTTGAATCAGGCACAGCGCGAGCCAGAATGGCAGTTGTTCTGAATTCTCTTATGCGTGACAAGGCCTAATTCTGATATAATTTTGCTTATCCTTTTGAATGCATGAATTTTCACATGCTTCCTTGTGGATCATTATTTTATCCTAAACACAAAATTACAGGCACTCATATTGAAACTGAGGTGCATGGGGTACGACAGTTGAATCTCCTTGATAAGAATGAAACTTATGCAATGAACTCACCAAAGCTTGTGATAAGATTTTTACCTGTTCCTGGGGTTGAATGGTTGGGCAACACTATAATTCGATGTAAAGAAACTGGCCTTGAAGCAGAGCTTTGTTATAGAGGCAGCTCATATTTTCCACGTCGATCAATACACAGGTCGATTAAAGGAAAGATCTTTCAGTCATCGTTATCACAGACCATTTACGAGATTAATGGCCACTGGGACAGGTACCTTAAAATTAACGCTGATTTATAGTCTTTTATTTTCACAAGACTCACTAATTGCCACTACAAAATATGTGAAAAGACTTTTCGCCGTATGTAATCACACTTGAGAATTGAGGGCTGTGCCCACATTCGAGAAAACTTGTACCAAACTCGTAGCAATTTATGAAGTGCCTCAATACACATCTATCTTAAGATGATGAAATAATTTACAGAATTGATATATTATTTTCTTCCTTTTTCGTTGCTTAAATTGGAGAGCTGTCACCATCAAAGATGTTTCCAATGAAAGAGTCACAACCATCTACAATGCAAATGAAGTGCTTTCAGGACTGAAGACTCCTGTAGTCGAAGACCCAAAGGTAATTATTTCCACAAACATTTGTTTGATCTCTTGGTCTGATGTAGCTGATAACCTCAATTTGTTACAAGTATGGTTAATAACATTAGGATTTCAGGTAGCTAACAACTAAGTTTCATATAAAGTTTTTACAGAATTGAAGGCTTCATACGTTTTATCATGAACAATGATGTTTCCAATCAGTCTGAATACATTTGTCTCTCACCAATTTCCGTAGGATTCACAATAGTCAGTCATAATGTGCTCACCGTTTGATTTATATTTTTCAACTAAAATGGAAGCCTAATGAATTTCTGTGGAGAGGAGAGAATGTATAGAAGTGATTCAACTGTTATTAGCAATAGTGCTCTAGTTCTGATGTCAAAATGTTGCACATATAGTTTGATTGTTTATTCTTGATTCTGATCCTGTGATTTTTACAATTAAGGATGTTCTGCCAAGCGAATCAGCAGTAATATGGGCCCAGGTGAGCCAAGCTATTCTACAGAAATGCTGGGAGAAAGCGAGGAAAGCAAAGACTGTGGTCGAGGAGAAGCAGAGAGAGGTTGCAAAAGAAAGAAAGCTAAAAGATGAAAATTGGGTTCCTAAGCATTTCACGGTATCTCACAGCAAGGAAAATGGATGGGAATGCTTACCGAATGTCAAGTTGGTTCCCCCAGCTCCAATTGTTGTTACTCCCTGATCATCTGGAAATACTGTAAACTAAATACTAAATCTATGTTTTCCACTTTCTCCTTGATTTTCGGAGTTAATGTCAACCATAGCAAATAATCTTCCCATAAGGTTATGTGAGTTCGGTAAACAGTACCCTGAATTTCAAGACCTTAGTTTTCTTCTTTTCAATTTTTTTCCCCAAGGTACAATAGTGTGGTTATTATTTTAAAATAATAATAATAATGAACTGAGCACTTCAATTGAACCACATGAGATTTCAATTCCAAAAGCAGGTACAATAGTGTAGTTAAAAAAAATAAAAATCCGAAAAATGAACTGGGCATTTCAATTGAACCGCATGAGATTTCAATTTCAAAAACCCAAGAAAAATTAAGTAGCGTCTTCAATTAAAGTCCAGACAACAGAGAAAACAAGAAAATGATATAAAAGGGCCCCACCAGGTTCGAACCAATGACCTCTTGATCTGCAGTCAAATGCCCTACCGCTAAGCTCCCAAAACCTTCACATCTACAATTCGATCAAGATATTTTAAATTCATTCTAATTAAAATACATTTTTAATAAATATACCACCTCAATTTGACTAATATAATATAATCCAAAGAAAATATATTCCACAAGAATTCGATCGATTCATCAGTAGATAAATCCCAACAAATATTAAATATCCAAACAATTATGATTTTTCTTACAGAAGAAAACCAGGAGTCTCACAAAGGTTCGATCCCACTATAGGACTCAATGTAATAAAAAAAGACAAAAAAAATTCCAACTCCACGCATGTGTGAGACTTCTATAAGAGGTATGTGAGCTAGGGTTTGGTACACCCAGCTCCGTTCTAAATATCCAAACCCATCCATTGCCCACTACAGTGCACTAAACCGCCTTCTCGGGCAACCCCTCTCCTCCACTCTCTTTGAAAGTGGCCGCAGCACCTTACCCGGCAAGTACTCTTTTATGAATGTGGCCAACAAATATTCGTGACGGCAGATGTATGTGTATTTTTCAAATCTTTTATTGTTACTTTTTTTAGGGATATGGAATTAAAGGTTTCTCTATCATTAAGGTCTTTGCACCAGTAGACCAATAAACAATACACCAAAGCCAAAGCATGTTAATAAATAAAGCCACATTTTTTGACCAAATGGATAAGATTATTGCTTTCTTAATGATTAAGAAAAATACATACATGCATGCAAATGTGGTGGTGGCGGCAAAATTGGATTTTCTAGCTAATGACAGCCACATGTACAGAAAATTCCAGCCAATTTTCTGAAGCATTAGGCGGTAGAATTTAATGTAAAAGGCGGCTAAATTTCCTATAAATATAGGATTGGAGTTGGAGAGAAAAGTAGTGTATGGAGAGGGAAAATTGAGAGAAAATATTCTTTTAGTAGAAAAAAAATAGAGAAAAAAATTATTGTTTTCTCCTAAGCATTTTCCTACTCGTGTTTCTCCTAATTACAAGATAGATTAATTGTTGTTATATCCTTATATTTAGAGAGTGTGTTGTAATTCCCCTACTATGGTGAATTCCTCTTATACTTGCCCGTGGACGTAGCCTATATTGGTTGAACTATGTAAATACTTATGTCCATTTTTAATTGTGTTTTCTCAATTCTACTATTTGTCAGCCAAACTCGACCCACTCATTTTCTCTCCAACAGTGGTATTAGAGCTAGGTTCTGTGTAGGGTCATTGTTCAGTCATAGTATTGGTAAACAAAATGGCGACAAAATATGAAATCGAAAAATTCAATGGGAACAATTTCTCATTATGGAAAATGAGAATGAAAGTAGTTTTGCGAAAAGATAACTGCTTGGCGGCAATTGTACAAAGGCCTGTGGAGATCATTGACGATACTAAGTAGAACGAGATGGATAGCAATGCAGTTGCTAATCTACACCTTGCACTAGTCGATGGAGTATTGTCAAGTGTGGCAGAGAAAAAGATGGCCAAAGAGATATGGGATACGCTGACAAAGCTGTACGAGGCCAAATCATTACACAAAAAAATCTTCTTAAAGAGAACTTTTTACACCCTTGGGATGATGGAGTTAACCATGGTGACAGACCGCATCAATACCCTCAATACTCCATTGTCACAACTCACATCAGTGGAGCATAATATAGAAGCGAACGAAACGTGCTAAAATCTTACTTCAAGGTCTACCAGATTCGTATGATCAACTCATCATCAACTTGACCAAAAACCTTGAAACTCTAGTCTTCGATGATGTTGCAGCTGCTATTCTTGAAGAGAAAAATAGGCACAAGAACAAGGAGGACAGATTGACAAGTTCACATCAGGCAGAAGCGTTAACGATGATGAGAGGGAGATCAACGGAATGTGGCTTCAGTGGAAGTCATAATCAGAGTAGATCAAAATTCAGGAGTAAGAAAAATGTCAAGTATCATTACTATGGCAAGAAAGGGCACTTAAAAGGGGATTGTTGGAATCTCAAGAAGAATGAAGAAGTCAAAGGAAAAGGTCCCGAGACGTTAAAAACTCAAGGTTGTGTAGCAAGCACCTTAGATGATGGTGAAATTTTATATAGCAAGGCAACAACAGTTGTTGAAGGTAGAAAGAAATTTTCTGATGTCTGGCTTATGGATTTAGGAGCTACATGACACATGACATCAATAAGGGAATGATTCTATCAATATGAGACTATCCCAAGAGGATCTGTGTTTATGGGAAATGATCATGCCTTGGATATCGCTGGTATTGGTACCATCAAATTGAAAATGTATGATGGTACAATTCGCACTATCCAGGAGGTACGACACATAAAAGGCTTGAAGAAAAACCTATTGTCTTTAGGACAATTAGATAGCATTGGCTATAAAACCTATATACAAGATGTGATTGTGAAAATAATCAAAGGCGCGCTTGTGGTGATGAAAGCGAAAAAGATAGCAGTAAATTTGTACATGCTTAAAGGAGAAACACTACAAAAATGAGAAGCATTTGTCGCATCGACAGGTTCAGCAAAAGAATTAACGATGATGTGGCATCGTAAGCTTGGTCACATGTTGAAATGTGGTTTGAAAATTCTCTCAGAACAAAAGCTTTTTCGAGGGCTCAAAAAGGTTTTATTACCCTTTTGTGAGCATTGTATTACTAATAAGCAGCACAGATTGAAGTTCAGCAGTTCCACTGCTAGAAGTAAAGCTATCTTGGAGTTGGTTCATTCTAATGTTTGGCAAGCACCAGTTATATCCATAGGAGGTGCAAGATACTTTGTATCTTTTATTGATGATTACTCCAGGAGATGTTAGGTTTATCTAATCAAGAGGAAGGCAGATGTGTTCGCGATTTTCAAAATAATCAAAGTGCCTTGGAGCTTGAATCTGGAAAAAGGATCAAATGTTTGAAGACTGACAATGGAGGAGAATATACTGGTGATGAATTTGATAACGTCATACACTCCATCACAAAATGGAGTGGTAGAGCGGATAAACAGAAGATTGTTAGAAAGAACAAGAACAATGTTGAGAACTGCAAGGTTAGCCAAGTCATTCTGGGCAGAAGCAATCAAAATCGCCTGTTACGTGATTAATCGGTTGCCATCAACCGCAATTGATTTGAAGACGCCTATAGAAATGTGGACTAATAAATCAATTGATTATTCTCGCTTACATATATTTGGAAGTCCTGTGTACGTTTTGTACAATACCCAAGAAACATCAAAGCTGGATCCAAAATCCAGAAAATGTATTTTCTTAGGGTATACTGATGGAGTCAAGGGGTACTGCCTGTTGGATCCCACTGCCGACAAGGTGATAACCAGCAGAGACGTCATATTTGCAGAAGGAAAAATATAGGAAAAAGTAAATGATAGCACTTCAAAAGAAAAACCAGAAACTACTACAGTTGAAGTTGGAGGCGAACGAGAAGATATAGATTATTCTGAAGTAACACTAGAGCACGAAGAACAAGTTGAGTCTCCAGATGTTCGACGATCAACACGAGAGAGAAAAGAACCGACTTGGCACTCAGATTACATTATGGAGGGTAATATTGCATATTGCTTACTGACAAAAGATGGAAAGCTATCAACTTTCCATGAGGCTATAGATAGCCAAGAAGTTTCTCTTTGGATAGCAGCAATGCAAGAAGAAATCGAAGCTCTTCATAAGAACAAGACATGAGATCTTGGTCCACTACCACATGGATGGAAGGCCACTGGGAATAAATGGGTCTATAAAATCAAACAAGATGGCAATGACCAAGTGGAGCGGTATCGTGCGAGACTGGTGGTGAAGTGATATACTCAGAAAAAAGGCATTGACTTCAACAAAATATTTTCTGTTGTGGTTCGTCTCACAACAGTTCGAGTAGTTTTGACGATGTGTGCTATATTTAACTTATATTTGGAGCAGTTAGATATGAAAATTGCATTTCTTTGTGGAGAACTTGAAGAAGAGATTTATATGCTCCAACCAGAAGGTTTTGAAGAAAAAGGAAAAGAAAACTTGGTTTGCAGGTTGAACAAATCTCTATACAGTCTCAAACAAGCACTGAGATGTTAGTATAAGAGGTTTGATTCTTTCATCATGAGCCTTGGATACAACAGACTCAGTTCAGATCCGTGTGCATACTACATGAGATTTGGTGATAATGATTTCATTATTTTGCTGTTGTATGTTAATGACATGTTGGTAGCAGGCCCCAACAAAGATCGTATTGAAAATTTGAAGGCATAGTTGACTAAAGAGTTTGATGTGAAGGATTTAGGACTGACAAATAAGATTCTAGGGATGCAAATTTACCGAGATAAAAATAGTAGGAAGATTTGGCTTAGTCAGAAGAATTACGTGAAGAGAATCTTGTGTCCCTTCAATAAACAAGATTGTAAGCCAATTTCTACCCCTCTTCATATTAATTTCAAGTTATCCTCAAGTATGAGCCCTAGCAGCGAAGTTGAGAGGATGAAGATGTCTCAAGTACCGTATGCATCAGCGGTGGGTAGCTTGATGTTTGCTATGATATATACAAGACCAGACATTGCACAAGCAGTGGGAACGATTAGTCGATACATGGAAAATCCTGGTAAAGAGTATTGGAGTACTATGAAGAGGATTCTGAGATATGTCAAGAGTACCTCAAATGCTACATTATGTTATGGAGGATCAGATTTTATTGTCAGAGGCTATGTTGATTTAA